TACTGCATACGCCAGACACAGAAAGATCACCCACTGCATACACCAGACACAGAAAGAGCACCTACTGCATATGACATTAGATTTACTCTTCACCATGTAAGGATCATTCAGCTGGTTCGAGGAATTAATGCATATAGTCACCAAAGGCTGTTAAAGTTATATACTTTTATTTATTTTAAAGCAGTATTTTTCATTTAAAAATGGTATCTTTAATTGCAGATTAAAGTTCCAACATCTTTTCTCTCTTACTAATCAAATATGATTGATAATCAAATCAAATCAAAGAAAAATTGCCAAAAAAAATGATCCCTGACTTGTGGGCAGTTGCGGTGGATGGAGCCGTGAGAGCAGCAGGCGCTCTGGTTTCTGCCGGTGCCCCTCAGTCCTCACGCGGCGTTCCCTGCAACGCGATGACGTGTAACCTTAACACCCATGTGGGGCAGAGGGTAACTGTGCACCTGTAAAGGTGACCAAATAGATCAGGAAGAACTCCCCACACCCTGTGCAGGACAGGCAGCGGCTTCTCTGTTTTCCAGTTCATGTTACGTTGTGCCCCCACTTTCTATCTCCAGCTAGTTCCCCATACACTGTAGTTGATGAAGACAATTTTTTTTAACCAGGCCAGAAAAATGGGAATGAATTTAGAGAAGTTTGCTTTTCCAGAAACTTGACACCCACGCATGCCCAGAAATCCAGTCGACCACAAAAGTCCTCTCTCCAGGACTCCCAGACCTTACCCCGGGCTTTCTCTCATTTGGTATCATCTCAGAGTCTGGGTCCTAGGAATCATAGAAGCGGTTAGCAATGAATGGCAAATGCTAGACTCGACACTTTACATTCTAAAGCGTAAGACCATCCTGAGCACTGCAGGCTCCCCAGGGCAGGCGTCACCTGTGTGTCACCCCGTAAGTGAATCCACGCTTCTCCAAGTGCAGCGTGTTCACTTGTCTCTTCTAAAATAAATGAGGTGGCTGTTGTGGCATAGCTCCTGGCAGCCTTCAGTAGGGAGTCTCTCACCAAACGCCAGCTCCTGGGTGGTGTAAGCTCTGGTAGCATGACAGCAGTCCCTGGGCAGCGTCCTGTCCAGCCCGTGATTATTTGAAAGGCATGTTTGCCACTTTCCCTCTTTCACATTGAGGCGTGCACTTCACCTGAGACCATCTTGTTTGCATTATTTGAAAGCAAGAAACAGAGTCCACAGCCTCCTCCAGGTCCCATTTCACAGCTTCCTGGTCCTGCTCCTGGTAATGTGGTTCCAGTGCCTGCAGTGGTGACTCACGCGCACTCCCACCTCCACAGCAGGGCTAGTGGCTGGGCAGAGCCCATGCACAGAGGGGGCCCTCTGACTGCAGACAGCACCCCTCCCTCTCCCAGGGCTCAGGGATGCTTCTGTGGCATCCTCTAGGGGCCTCTCCCAGGCCCCTGCCCCACAGCTCAGAGAAGCTGTGCCCAGGCCGAGGAGCCCCTCCCAGGGGGCCTCAAGGACACCACGGCCTGATCCTTAATTGTCACCACACCTTTTCGCCCATGTGGGCTTGGCCCTTGGGCTGAGAGAAATGAGACCAAAGGGAGCGAGATAAGGTTCTTCGTTTCTCTCCACCAGGGGCTGGGTGAACATCAGTATGCCGCCTGTGCGCTTGGAGAGCTACCAGAAGGACACCATGAGATTAGCCTAGGCAGTGGGCTGGTGTTGGCTTTTTAAAACTTAAAGTATTTGAGAAAAGAAACTCCGTTGCTCTCCCTTTATGCTGAATTTTAATGTCACTAAGGCCTTTTAACTCATGAAATCAGGCCAAATACATATTCAAAATCTTACTTGCTTTAGTGAGAAATAGGATGAAACAAAGATGGGGAGATGATTCAAGAAAGAGGTCACTGACATTTAGTGATGGTTTTTAGTTGCTTATACAGTAGTAGTGCTGAGGCACTGTCAGTGTCAACCAGCTCCTGGTGTTCAGGGAAACCATGATCAGGAGTGGCTCTCTTTGGTTGGTCTTATAAAATTGTTGTGTAAGTTTTTTCGACTAGGGTGACAGTCACCATTTACGCCTATGGCTTGGTTCCAGCAGAGATTTTAACACGATGGCCTGTTCCCCCACAAAGTGGCAGGTGTAGCAGCCACGCCATGCTTGGCCATAGAATCACTAAGATCCTGATGCCTGCAGATGAGTTCTCAAGTAGAAGACCCCACTGGAACCGGAAAACTACAGGATTCCCTAAAATTACCTGTCATTTGGGGTGTCCATTTTAATTTTCATTTCAAAAATGGATGCCCTTGGAAAGAAATAATTTGTTGATATAATAAAATAATCGTGGAGCTTTGAAATAATTAAGTCCCTCTTGCTAAAATCTATCTAAGACCACCTCAACATGTACCATTGATTCCTAAAAAGTATGCAGCCAGTGTAATCAGTGGAGGTGTCCTGCCTTAGGGCAGCAGCTTGGCCTCTGCAGCAGGAAGCCCCAGTTAGAGGTGCCCTCGCCACCTCTGCACACCTCGCCCCGGGCCCTCTTGCCAGCTCATCCGCACAGGCAGGTGGGGGAATGACTGTCGGCTTGTAGATCAGTCACATCAGCCGGATTTTGCAAATTCAGACATCTGGGGGAAAGTAAATACAATTTGATTTGAAAACTACGTTGAAATGAAAGTATAATCTTTATTATAATTTCACGTCTGATGTGTTCAGCCAGCTAAACTAGGCACTAGCTCCTTTAGCATGTAAATAAAAGATAACGTCAAAGTTCACAAATTATTCTGCCTCGCGCCTCACGGCAGTTTAGTGTTTACTAGTGATAGGTGGTTTTTAAGCAGTTTGTACGTTTCTATATAAATGGAGAAGCCATATCTGAAGTAGTTCATTAATGTAAGAGTTTCCAAAGATTAAAGGAGATTAACTGTATGTAAGAACCTATAGCTTCTGCTTTAAGTGGAAGTACGTTTTTGATTACTGAATGAATGTTAGGCAAACATGATTGTTCCTTACTCCAGGGGGCCTGCTCCTGTGGCCTAGGTGTTCAGCTCAGATGACACACATCTAGCTGAGGCCTTGAGGCTCTGTGACAAGAAAACATATCCAAGTTACCAAATTAGTTATAACAACCAGGTGGATACTTTTCTAAACTATCGGAGCTTAGCTTTTGAATAAAAATTACTGTCTTACCAAAAGTATTTTACATGTTCTTGATAATGAGACTGTCATTTTCACTTTAAAAGGCTTGAGCAATTGCCACTAATGTTTTTTTTTAAATGCATGACATAATGGTCTTCACACAATTTGAAGTTTTTTAAAAAAAAATCACTGTTTCTTGGTAACTGCAAATTTTACATCTCATAAGGGGAATTTTGTACTAAATTTGATAACTAGTTGATTTCACTGCTAGTCTTAGAACAGTGTAAAGCTATCAAGTTATACTGTGCTGTGGGAAGTCATTTATGTTTAAAATCGCTTGTGCCAATTAGTTTTATGTCTACACCTGAACATTTCCCAGAGAACTCCCCGGATGCGCTCACCGAGCAGGTGAGGCCACCTCACGCAATGTTTGTTTTTGTCCCCTGGATTGCCATGGCAACCCTCCATCAAATGCAGCTGGGGATGACGCTGGTAGTGAGTTCTCTAGGGAAGGGTACCTGTGGGCTCTCACTGGCTCAGTGGCACCTGTGCAAGAGGGAACACATGGGGGCAGCCCACTTGTGGAAGGGTGACTGGCTGCTACCAGAACTCGGTGAGATCCCTCCCTCATAACATTCCAGCCCTGATTGCCAGGCTGCTCTGCAGACAGTGCATGAACCCACTGGGTTACCTGGCACCCAGAACAACTGTCCTCCGGGAGACAGCAGACCAGAACAGCCTCCCTAGCCAGCTGGCTTTGCTACCTGTTGAATTCTGCAAGGAAAGTCCGCATTTTGAATTCGGTGTGACTACAGCTCTTGCTAATATAGAAAAGTGCAGCTCTTTAAAGCTCTGAAGTGCAACTTTAGTAAGAGTAGTAGTATTTCTCTTTCCACTTCATTTGCTATGTAAGAGAATCTTGGAACCACAAGTTATGGTAGAACCCCAGATGACTCAGACATGAGCTACATGAAGCCATTCACTTGGAAAACATTTGCTTCCACTTAGCTACAGTGCTGCTTTTAGGAACGCACAACTCACAGCCCCATGCAGCATGTGTCCGTCTCTGTGCTTCTTAGTTGCCTTGTTCAGAAACCTGCCATCTTACGTATGTATTTGTTGTAAATGAGTCCGGCACCCATTTAAATTAATCTTTTTTTTAATGTTATGAAAA